TTTCATGATCTAAAGGCCAAACGTATTGGTCCCTGGCTCTTTAATTTGTGCGCTTGAGCCATTGAAAAGAAAAAAGGGTTGTAATTACACTCACACCTCCCATACCGGGAATCAACCCCAGGCTGCCTGAGTGAACTCGGTAATGGTAACTGCTTGACCTCATGGCAATCTTGTTGGGCTCTCAAAACACCCCTCGGCCGCGAGTTAGATTCTTCAAAAAAAAAAATCAATCATTAGTGGTGATTGATTTTTTTTTTTTAACGAGAACAGACTCGAGAGAACAGACTTAGACCCGAACACCATTCAAAACTTTTTAGACAGATGTTTTAAAGAAATTATACTTCGATTAAACTGACAGTTCGAGATGTTTTAGCAAGGGCTGATGAGAAACTTTTTATGAAAATCAAAAGAGATAATCATTCTTTGCATTTTAATGTGCCAAACCCTAAGGAAGTCGGTTATAATCTTCACCGAAAGACAAGTTTAGGACCCAGTATTAACAATGAAAGATTTAAAATTCCTTTGTAAATAGATTAATCTTTAGATATAATCTTTTATAAACACGCGGCAAGTTTTATATATTCCAGCGCAAAGCACATGTTTTTGTTTATTGCAACTCGAGATATGTATATTTTATCTGAGATTTATTGAAGACTTAAGAGTGAAAGAAGAACTTTCAATTTTATTGTAATAAACAGCGGCTAATAACGCATGAGGGGTGGAAATAACTTGGAAATGCATGAGTGTCCTGTTGGGATATGATTCTCGCAGCTAGATTAGAGCCATCAAAGTACACCTAGAACTTGCTGAGATATGTAATGTTTGAAAAATGTTAATGATGTGGAATTAAACAACGCAAAACTGACTCTTAGCCTCAATTAATTACACTCATCAATATGTATAAGAGACCCCCCCCTCTCCCCACCGCAACACCCCTCTTTAAGTCTGATGGAATTTAGGAAAGATGTCATAAATAAACATGGAGGGTGAGAATTTGATAAAATAATCGGTCGTTTATTGACCTTTATTAACTGGTTGATATTCAAATGAGAGATTTCTGGTCTGTTCCTGGCATTCTGTAGATATGCATGGGCGAATGAAAGCGGGACAAGCAGGGAAAAAAACCTTGAAGGGGGGGGGGGGGGGAGAGGAAAGGAAACCGAGGATAGGCCGGGAAAGGGATTTCAGCGGGTTTATGATGACAAAAGTTTTGTTGGGAAGAAATTTCTGCAATTTCCCGTTCAAGTTGTAAACATCAAACAAGGGGAAAATATGGTATTGCAGACAATTATTCCTGTTAAGTTATGGCACAATTTTTTTTCTTTGCGAACCTTTATTTTTTGGGATCGTATATACCTGAGGGGATCTATTTTGAGAATGAAGGGCAACCCTGAAAATCACAAAATTCCCTTGCTGCATTCTTATCAAAGAGCAGCTCTCTAATTCACGTCGCTCAAATATAGAGATACTTGATCTACTTGCTATCTTCTTTCATCACAAAATGAAACAAGTTTTTGCTTTCATTCTGTTGCGTGTATGTTTTTATGCGAGAAATTCCTTTTTGACAGTTTGTTTTCACCCCCTAAAATAGTTTCCCCCGGTGGCTCAGTGACACTGACAGTGCACAGGTTTTTTAACTCAGGTGTTTGCTCTATTCCCTGCTGTTTTATCTGTTTTCTGCTTTTCCTAATTACTGTCATCGACTCACTGTGTGGTTCAACTATTCGGCCAGGAGCGGCCTAATTTTCTGATAACGAAACATGCAAAGTTAATTCGCCTATAATATCATAAAAACGTGTTGCGACTGTAAGATATGAACAACCTTAAAGAAAATCAACCTCAACATCGGTGAAAATTATTAACGCGCTCAAGACATCCCTTTCGCATTCAAAGATATCTGCACTTTAATCCGTCGACAGCTTATTCAATACTTTACGTTTAACGTATTTTCAGCTATTTTCTCTCCATAAACCATAGCTCACTAAGGCAGAACAGTTTTAAAATGTTTTTTACCCAGTATGCATCTTGATGGTAGTGGCCGACTGGGTGGGTCTATTTTCTTGTCAGAGAAAATTATTTCCTCTTCAGTCATTAAGGGACAAAACGAAGACTTCTAAGGAGAAGGTGACAATGTTCTGATAGCAAAGTCATTTAAGAGCTGCACGAGGATACCACTTTATGAGGTTTTTAAGTTGTAAGTGCCAGACAGAGAGGATCTGTCTGTGCACCTGCCGCTGTATTAAGATATTAACCGTGGAAATTGATTAACAGAAAGCTTGGCCAGGTCGTTATTTTAAAGCAAAATGCAAACAAAGAATGAACTTCAATGACAAAAGCCCTCAGTTAATTGCTATCTCTACATGTTCAGCTGTGTTGCAGCTTGCGGTTAAAAAGCGACACAAGATGGATTTTAGTGTACAATAATACGATTAAGAGATAATCCTGTAATCAAATCAAAACACCATGGGGATTGAAATACAAATTAATAAACCCTAACCCAAAAGCCGTCAATTCACAATTCCTATGTTTCTAACGATTGTTCTCAAACAACGTCGAAGATCCGAACACTTGATTTTCAGTCATTATCCTAAATGACCTCTTGTTACATTACCAATATGGCTCAAAATTCTTCATTTGTATCCCACTGGTCTAAGGAATCTTTCATTTGAGTGGAAAACATAAGGTTTATGCTGGAAAGTAATTTGATTAACGTCAACACACATTTGTTTCAGGTCATGCAAAAACGTTTTCAAGAGGGAGTGTAATTGCCCATTCAGTAAAGAACAGGTTTTTCTAACTTCATTAATATCTCTGTTTTTAATTACAAAACGCTATCAAAATTGATGAGAAAACATGGAATAGTGACTCAGTCGAAGCTTAGTTTCTGCTAAAAGCCACATCAGTGGCCTTGCGGTATTGGGGGTTGACGTTTATAAGCGCTGATACCTCCTGTAAGAACGTCGACAATATTCAAAACTACGGACAGAGGACCTCCTAAATCACTACATCCCTTCCAATTGTTTATAGATGAAACTCCATGAAAAGAAAAGAAAACAACAATCAGGGTGCGAAAAATAAATGTTGGTACGGTTTGGTTGTGTTAGTTTTCCGTTTCCTGGAGCGGTTTTCATACGTGTCGTCACTTTCAGAAATTCATCACTCAGCCGAATTGTGGTCTAATTTTGTCTCCCAGGACAAAAGGAGAGTTTAAATCGAAAACCGAAGTGTAAATTCTTGTCATGCATCGTGGAAAGGTCGCAATCTTTCTATGTTATCTATGTATATTATCTTGAATTAATTCAGCATTATCCTGATTGACTAAACTCTCAAAAATTTGGGCCTGTTTCATACAAGTTTTGACCCAACTGAGGTGTAATTCAATTATACTGGTTTTTACCGTAACATTGCGTGCAGCAGTAGTTTACTATGATAAAGCTGTCTGCATTCCAATTCTGCACCACCGTTAACCAATAAATACAAATAGATCGTCAATATCTATGTGAGCTTCTTGGCACATAATTATTTTACTATTTACATCATCCTTCACACATAATTAACGCTTGGTTCTCAAACATATTGACTCAGCATGACTACGTTTAACTCTAGTGAAAAAGAATCCACACTCTAAAGACGGAAATTTTTTTCTGTGCTCTATAAGCTTGGAAATAAATGCTTGAAAATTAAGTTGTTTTATCTTTTTCAAGCGAAACTTGATCCTTCTCCTTTATCAAATGTTTTAGGTTCTGCAGTCACAGCACCGGAAACTCTGTCAATTGATACTGTCTCGGAAATCAATTAGTGTCAACACAGTTTACGCACATTGATAGGTCTTGGTTTGATTAAAGCAGCTTTGGGTCACAGTATGCGGCACAGAAATTTCACCGATTCTGTAGTCAAAACCTTAATTGCATTTGCTTGGTATCGCCATGAGCTGCATCAATGGTAAGTAGATAATGAATTATCAGATATTTGTGGCTTGGGGTAGATCTTTGAGATGCCACAGCTCAGTAACAATTAATAGTAAATGATCTTATATTTCATGTGTAACTATTTTCTCTTTTCAGATGTAGCTTGTTATAGACAAAATAGGCGTTCAGGGCCGTAGCTAGCATGAGGCAAGACGAGGCAATTGCCTCGTCTTAATTTTGGCCTTTTTTAAWTTTTTTTCTTAAAGATTGACTTTTCTGAAGAAAAATGTCACGGAAAATCCTTAAAAGAGCATTTCTAAATCTCTAGATTTCAAAGTTTTCTGGGGGGCATGCCCCCAGACCCTTCTAGCGGCTCGGGCTTTCGGCGCTCGAAACTTGCCTCGTCTTGTCCTGAAATCTGGCTACAGCCCTGGCGTTTGGAAGATCACCATAGCTCAGTTGTTTTTGCAAAAATCACAGCGCACGGTATCTATCTCTGCAAAGGGAAATTTTGAATTGAAAAAGACCAGACAGTAAGGACATTTGGCAAGCATGATTAATAGCATAAAGATGTGAACAAATATGATAACAAGTTCGCTAACAAGGTTTTCTTTTAGCGAACTATGATGAATGTGTTGTGAAGGGGTGACTTAAGTGCAGGCTTTAAATGATGACAAAACAAATTTTAAATCTATTTTTTGGAACTCAGGGAATTTTCCAAATCTTAATAATTCAACGAAAAACCACATCTTTACAAACTAAATCGATTTCCCTTCTCTCTGTAACTGCATTACATATTGATTAGCTTATTTTAAAAAAAAAAACATTTTGTTCTTTCAAAATTTCCTGTGATTTTAATTTTTGTCCCGGCAGCCTTTCCGTAGGGCGTGTAACGATACAAGAGGTGTCTGGAAGATGATTAGTTTGTGAAGTGGACCTTAGCATGCAATTTGGCAATTTTTCTATTCAATTATCTTCGTAATGAGATTACTGAAGATTTCCTGCCTTAAGTCAAGTGCACGTGTGCGCAAAACACCGTCAAACCAATGATATGGCACCGATCTACGCATGACAAATAGAGTTGTAGCAAAACCTTTGTTCCAGAAGGTACTTGTGGCATAGTTGAGTAAGAAAGATGGCCGTTTGTTTCGATTTGCTTATGTGAGTAAGTTTATATGGAGAACTGAAGCCAAACGTATAATTTCCAGGAGTTAAAGCCCTTTGGTTGAGAGCAACGTTCAGTAACGTTATTGACTGGATGAGTTCCACGTGAGGATGGACTCCAGAAGATATCTATTGCGTAGAGATGGATGTTCGATCTGAACGCGTTTTATGGTGATATGCACTGTCCTTCTTGTTCTTGAGTCAAGGTAAGTGCGCAGAAAACAGATGCCTTTTGAAAATGTTTAATAAAGCATCCGTCTTATTTCAGTTCATTTATGTGCTTTCTTGAACAGAATGTTTGGAGCCCTTGGTCTCTCAAACCTTTTGAAATAATTTTTTCTTCCCCCCCCTTCAACAAAACAGCTGTTCGTCCTATGACAGATAACTCACAGCAAAACGCCCGAATACTTTTGTCGATTAATCTCACACTTTTTTGTAGTAAATTCACTCGAAAATGTATCTTAAAAAGTCATGTTTATAACTATACCATGCTTCTGCAGGGTGCGGTAGCATTATTGCGACGGCTGTGCTCGAAAACAGCGTCAAATGAGTTTTCAATCCGATGTATTCCTCATTTATGTCCGGCATATTCAACATCTGTTCAAGTAGTCGTAAGTTGTAGTTTACGGCTCAGGCCGAGACATTTGGAAAAAATTATGGGTAGAAACATAGGAAGGCTTGAACGTTCGTATTAACGAATTCGAATTTTCGCAGATTTTGACACCAAATAGACAGCATTTCAACATAATCTGCTCACAGGTTTGAGAAGGACCGCTCGAGTGGATACCAGGATTAGATGCATCCATGTTATATATCGCTTACACGGTGGAAACTTCAATATTTTCCACCCTTAATCAGATTTATTTCATACTCAATTTTGATAGTATACCCACTGGTGATTCTTCATCGATCAAGTTGCCAGACTGCATGATCATCGACTTATTACAGGGTTATCTTTCCTTCTTCTCTCAACGATGAGGTGATCATTTGTCCGAAGATGGTTGTTTGTAATTTTTCTATTCAGAAAGAGAGAGAAACTTTATGTTAATTGTACTAAGGCACAGCTAATTTAATTTATTCATTTTACAGTCAGAACAGGAACCTGCGGTCCTGAATCCTTCCTGACAACGAGAGAAATTTAAAACCACATCCAGTCTTTGTCTGCGTGTGTCGAAAAGCTCTTTGTGGGAGTTCAAGCCGATTATTTCACAGTGTAGTTGGACTGGACTATCTTACAGTAAGAACTGTTAATAGTTGTGTAACTATAGTAGACAGTCTAGATCACTACAGTATTAGCCAGTGATAGGTTAGTGCTGAGTTAGTAAAGGCGAAACCAAGACAAATGACAAATCAGAGATGACAACTAAATGTGGCTACAGTTATGTTGGACCTCCCTTACCACTTTTCACTTTTTTTTTTTTTTTTTTTTTTTTTTTTTGCGTTTGTGTGTTCTCAATTTGTGTCTGAAAAGCTCAATGATAAGCTCGAGTTAGCTCAGAATGATTGGAATACCGTTGAAAATTTTGCAGGGTTAGGTCCGAAAAAAACCAAAACATATATGGCATAGAGTCTCCTTATAAGTTCCATATGTTTACTATGGTCAGCGGTATCAAGAACTACGTAGAGAGAAATGAGAACGTCACAGCTACAGATTTAAAACCGGAATGTTGCAACATTTTCCTATTTTTCAAGGACAAAGGCAATAGCAAGAAGATCGACTTCATTTGATTTTACATAAATTGATGAACGACAAAGAAATACGATGATGATTGCGTAACTTAATAACCTTATCACTCAAACTTTGCATGTAGTTGTGACCTCATAACTTGCTACTAGTGTAAAAATCAAATTGTGTACTTCTGATTTTAGCTATAATGAATCTTTCAAGGGATAATTTAAGAATTTAACACATCAAATTGTAACGGCTATTGATCAGCTTAATCATCCCGCAAAACCCAATTTCAATCCTAGAAATACTAGTTCAAGAAAAGAAATAGTGACTCTAACGAATTGGTATACCAAATCGATTACTGAGATATCTGTATTCTCTTTAAGTTCTACCTATTAGTTTCTACAATTTTATTGAAGCATTGTGGGACTTTTTTGGCATGATATTTGAGTTTATAAAATGTATGCCCTTTTTTTCATTTATTTCAAAGCCAATGGTGTATGGCTGCTGTCACAAAAGTTGTAGTGCATGACTGCATGAAATGGAATCGATTCGAATTTGATTCGCGTCGCATCGTGTGGCTATCGGCTCAAATTTACAAAGTGTATTGGTTGTAAAATTTTGGCGGGTAAATTCTTCCACAATGTCTTGATCTTTCTCCCAAATTTGATGGTTCTTTATCACAAAAACTTTCCGCACAAAGATCACAGGTATCATAAAATTTCCGGTCAACTTCCAGAGCGATCTTTGGTCAAAATTACGGATTTTCAAGTTTTTAATCATGAAAAAGAGTAGAACTTACAACTTATTCGAATTTGATTATTTCAATTTGTTTGTTATTCCTCTCGCATTTGTCCTTCTGTTGCCATAGTTACCAGAAAGAGGGATGATTCGTTTTTCATTTCACAACCGGAAGGCTAAGGAAAGGATTCTTTTTTTGGTTTGTTTTAACGATCACTTTTCTCCCTTACGAGACATGCTTTGACACCTTCCTGAAAGAGTATAATTAATTAGGTATTTATTCAATTAATCTGAATATCTCGAGACAACAAGGAGCCAAAATGCTCGTCTAACATAACAGAAACGTTCCGGAATTTCAAACTATATAATCGGTTTTCTATATGTACAAGCATTGTTTTCATCAGCTATAGACACTCCATAACTCTTTTTTTTTTTTTAACTTAACTCTTTTTTTTTTTAACTTGACCTTGCTCGCTAGAAGTTTAGCACTTAAGGGCAGACAATTGGTACGCGCGCTTATTGAAGGCATCCAATTACCGACCGGGCTGTGGGAGATACGATATATTTGGAGGAAACAGAAATCTTCCCAACACAGGAAATTACAGATTAATCTGGAAAAGCTCTTTTAAAGCTCGATGACTTAATACTCCACTTGTTAAGTGTGGTTTCTAGAGAGAAAACCGACCAACACTCGACCAGGATCAGAAAATTACGTATTACGTTTACTTTTAACGAAATAAAATATGTGATCTGTGTATGTGTGCTTTCAACAAGAACCTTTTTTACTGAAGCCAGCGCATTCAAAAGATATTAAACTTCTGATCCTAGAGTTTATTTAGGCATCCTTGGGTTTCAAAGTAAACAATGTACATTTACAATTTTGCAAAACTCCAACCAGGAAACATGAACAATACCATTTTGCGAAGGCACTGGTAGTAATGCTCGACTGGTCTCATTTCATCGATAAAAGATAAAAACTTTCTAGAGAGACAGCTTCTGGATCTTTGTCGGAAAAGGGCCTTTTCCGACAAAGATCCAGAAGCTGGGCAGTGTGACACATCTTGCACCTTGAGTTTGGGCCGCCACAGAAGGCATGAAGGCGCCTTAATGACATCGTCTCCGACATGAAAAATGAGCTTGTCAACTTGTTCCATCCATTTTCCAGGCCCTGTTTAGTGAAACCTCGGTGGTGATCACGTAAAAGGCGCCTAAATTTTTTTTTTTAACACCTCATAATTTTTCTGTAATGTATAAAAAAAAGGAAGCTAAAACAGATATGACAATCTAAGAGCAAATAGCCTGAAAACCTGTAGATCATTCAAACACAAAATTGTCTCCGGGTATATATAATCACTTGTACTATTCTGTGTACGGCGACTCTTTTCAGTCACGTGACTCAATTACCGAGGCTACTGTAAGTCAGCTGTAAGATCGCTCGGCGACTTAGTAAATTGAAATAGTTCAAAGCTAAGCAAAGCGAATGTTTGGAAAGTTTTCTGGAGAAAATTGATTTGTTTATTTAATGATAGGGAGTGACTCAATTAACATTCAGGAAACTACTTGAGTCTCCTGTCAAGTACAACTGCAAATTTTACTCGCAGGACACACAGACCCATTTAAACTGTCTTGAAGTTGATTTATTATTCTCGGTGTTCTTTTATTTTGAACTGCTCACTGGCTTATCTCGACAAAACAGCAGACAGCTCTGGTTTTTATGGGTAACTTTTAAGATTATATCGTTAAGAGACTTTCTCTTCTGCCAGAGAGATGCAAACAGCACCGTGATCAACAAAATGGTGCCCAAAAACGAAGGTTTCAAAGGTTTGCTTTTTGCTATGACCAAAACCAGATAAAGTGAGGCCAAAAACTCGGTGTCAAAGGGCAACCTAGCGGGAATCAACTCTGTGAAAACATGAATGCAGTCACAAGAACACCGCGTTCGCACGGAATCTTATGTAGGATATTAAAGAAGAAAGATCTTGTGAAGTGATGTCTGTTTCCTGATCTGACCTTTCATGTAGATGTCTTTCGAATGCATGATAAAAAATCTTCCTAATGACGTTCTTAAGAGAGCATGTTACATCTAATGACTTCAAAAACCTCGCTGTAGCGAGGGAAAGACAGCTTCATATCTCGAATTACTAGGGAAAGGAATGTAGTACATATTGGAATGGATGTGTTATTATTCCCGGCCGTAGTAGGCCAAAACCCTTGACATTGCTCGGTGTTATTTACAAATGAATAAACCAAATGCGGAAGACCTAGTCCACAAGGAAGCTACTGTGAGCGAAAGAAATCAGTTTGCATTAAACTACTACATGGTCGAAAATGTTTAGGTGAGGAGGACTCGTATTACGATCTTTTCGAACGACCCTCTTCAGTTAAAAGGAACGCTCATCATCATGAAATTATTGCAAAGTACACAGACATTCTGCTATTTTCGTTCATTAAGCTATCATTTCCACTGTAAAAAGAGGTACTCATTATTTGAGCTGAAGATTTTAACATTTTAGATATTTTTCAACTTGATGTAGTATATTGGAGAACAACTGAATTATAAATTCGTTTTATAATACACACAGCAATAGTGATAGTTTTATTTCCCGTAACTATTATTCTTGAATGGAGCATGTTATCACCTAATCTTACCGCTGAATGTTTAACCAACTAATATGCTTAAATACATTTTATTTGCTACAATATTTAAGCGTGCAAAGGGCTCTCTTGCTACTAATGGCGGCCTTCTACTCTCAAATGTGGATGTAGACTCGTACAAGGAAAACGACGAATAATTCCGTTATTAATTGGCTCTTCCATTTTCCCGTTAAAACACTCAGCTTTACCGAATTAGGTATAAGACAGGAAATAACTTTGGTTTTAGTTTGGTAAACGTTTAAGTTAAGAATTTATCAAGAAACCCATGGTGTTCAAGATATATTTTGAAACACGAGATCCGCATTGTTCACCATACCTTCTCTCGCTTGAGAGAGGGGAACATTTTGTCCTCCAACTAGCTTATTAGATGTATATGAAGTGGACATTATTCGTTTGCTATCGGTTAGGTTTATCAATACAGGAATTAGAGGAAATTTTAGCTTTTAGAATTGTATTTAGATGAGCTAATGGTTTCGCCCATTTATAGACAGAAGTTTGTCAGTTATTTATGACCTCTTTGCGAAGGTAGAAGTAATCTTTACTGCTATGAAGTTAACAATTATTGCCTTTGATAGAGTTTGTTTATTTTCATAGTTACTGTACAAAACTTTTTGACCGATAATTAAGATTTTATAGTACAAACTTACATGTTTTGGCTATCATTAAAATAAAGATTGAGTTGAAATTACGTTGTGTGTGTAAGTTGTCAAGTTATGTGAATAGATGTTAGATGGCAACGCGCAGATTCATTTTTTGGTTTATTTAGTATTCCTTTCTAGTCTCATTGAAAACTTTTGTTCTGAATTTCTTGTAGAACTTTCTTCATCACGGACAATTTCTTCTCCATTACACAAAGTACGCTGGCTGTTTTCGTTTACATTTAGACGTTTTTACGGTTCCCTTTGTTGTCAGACAAGATGGCTTCCCGCGAGTTTCGGTGATTTATGAATCCTGACATATCTTAGACGATCGTCTTTGGATGTCAAACTGAGAGTTTAATTTAGATTTTCACTTTAAGTTCTGAATGAAATTATTACTTAGAGATGAGCGGAAACAGTCGGAGTACTGCGTGTCTGGATAAGAAAGAAAACCGCGACTGTTTTGTGAGAGTTTTGTAATGAAAATTAATGGCTGCTTTGTGTCCCGCATTGAAGCTGTCTTTGGAGTAGAACTGCCTCTTTTTTTGAGGATTTATGGACAATATTATATAATTTTTATGGGGCAGTTATTTCCTGAACTCTTACCAAACCTAATTTGCAATTATTTTATATGACTAAAATAAGACTGAACATGGAGGCGCCATCAAAATGGCGTACTCGTTTCTTGTGGAAAGAATTCTCTTCGTTAAATTAAAAACATTGCCTTTAACTTAGCTTTGGGACTTTATTGGAATTAAAGAATCAATCAGCATAATTTCTCCTTTATTGAAGTCGAACATCGTAGAGTTCTCATATAAATAAATAAGGATGCTCTAAAATGCAAGCTTTCAGAAAGCCCTTTCCTAAAATATGCCAGTTCCCTTGTGCTTGAAGAATTCATGAATCAAACACTGACAGACAAGATAGAGAGATGTATGAAAAGATGTTTTATTACTTTCAGAAGAGTAAAACCCAACAAGTTTTATGTGACCTGTATATTAAAGTTAACCTTCGAAGCAATAAACACGGAAAACGAGAACATATCTGAAACTGCTAAGCGGAATCTTGGTCGGTGGTATTCTGGAACGCGACTAACAAGATAGCGGAAAGGCGAAGGTGAAAACTTTACGGCTGTGAATCTCTTTAAAACAAAGAAATCTCACCGACTGTCTGTGTGCAGTAAAACGGCGCTTGTTGTGTGCTAAAATGACCTTGAACTGGTTGTGTGAATTGTCGCTGTTGATTTCAAGGGATGGATTGAGTGTTTGTACAAATTCCATATTGCAGCGTTGGCGGCAACAAACGAAAAATTCTATTCAATAAATAATTTCTTGCGAGGAACTCTAAAGACGTAAGCTCTTCCCAGTACTATTCACACCTTCAACAAGGAGAGAGGAAATATGGTGTCGATTGGCCTTTTGAAATGGATTAACACTGGATTAGAAATGCGTAAAGGCGGAAAGTTACTGATCCCTGCTAACAAGAGTTCCTTCCATTAAATAACGCTCGAAATGTACAATGTTACGATAATTAACATACCGCAATGTCCACAAAAGATTGGTCTCCGCATTGAGCGAGACTTGTTCGTACCGTTGCTTTCTATTCACATTATTAGTGAAAGTTTTCATCTGGACACGCTCGGCGATCGGGCGGCGAATAAGAGAGAGGGGAGCAAGACATTAGGTGACGCTGTCTGTCTTGCGCCTCCATAAATCGCGGACAAATTTTCTCGGAGCTTTCGTTGACTTTTTCATCTTTTTTCCATTTCATTCGACGATTTTGAAACCAGATCTTGACTTGTCGTTCAGAAAGACTAAGGGTCTTTGCGATCTCGCTCCTTCTAGAGCTGCACAGATACTTGTTGAAGTGAAATTCCTTCTCCAGTTCTAAAAGCTGTTTGTTCGTATAACTCGTTCTGTGCCGCTTCGCTTGTTTCTGGCCTGAAAATTTGAACAAAAGAAGACATGAAGAGAAAGCTCTTATTGTAGAACAACAAATTATTTTCATGATAAAATACAGGGAGAAACAGCTCGCACAGGCGAACTGTTTAGAGAGTGTTTCGAATGCTGTACATAATTTTGAAAATCAGCCCTTTATGCTCGTGTAAAATGAATAACAATTTGAAAAGACAATTTAAAATAGAAAAATTACTCGGAATCGCGTTTCTAACAAACGACTTACACGATAAGTATCAGTTCCCTTCCGCCCCACTTGCACAAAGTTCAAGCTTTAAATTTGGGTAAGCGAAGATTTCACTTCAAATCTAATGGGATGACTATTGTCATTCAATAGGTGCATGGTCCCATAATCAAACAAACTCCCTCACCAATGAGAACGTCTCACCGTGCTAACAATGTCAGGTAGATGTTTGCAAACATCCCCGCGTATTGCATGTTACAAATGAATGTCAACATTCGATCTTTCGTTGGCATCTATCAGCTCACCAAGCAACAAATTTAGCTCAATACGGACTTCATTAATCACAAGAAGAGACATCTTACTCTTCAAACCTCCGCCCTTTTGACAGAAAAGATACTCAACATTCAATAATAAAAGACAAACGAACCATTCTAAAATCTCGAAAACGTCATTCAATATTTGCAATTTAACTACTGAGTCATCGTGAGCCAAGTGAATAAAGGAAAACCCGGATTAGCTTTGTTCCGCTTTCTTCCAAGCCGCAGAAAAAACCCTCCAGATTCCATATCATGCTAAAAAGCTACGGACAAGTTGTCCACGAGAAAAATAAGGTTATCAGTGTTGCCAGAAAGGTGACCTACCAAATCCAAAGTCCGATTTACCGCCTTTCTTTGATTTCATCCATGGATAAATTGGCTGAAGGAGATAGTCTGGTATCGGTGTTGTGTGATGAGACAAGGTCGATCTTGTGTCTTCACCATGAAAGTTCTGCCGTGGTGGCGGGGCGCTGTAATTTTGGCTTGAAGGTCTCCGGGTTGAAACTTCTAAAAAGGGAAAATAATTCCCTGTCAAATTGATTTGGCGCTCAAATGTCGAGGACAGCTGCGAAGTGTATTGCTGGGCATAAATCTCTGCCGATGTTGGATAAAGCGATGGACGGGCCATGTTTGTCGAAGATGATTTATTTGGACCTGACATCTTAACCCTTAACAACATGAGTTATGACAAATCGACTAGTGGAAGGAGTTTTTACCGCTTCACGTGACCCATTTCCACCAATTGCAAACAAGTACCACACTGGGTTCATGACCTCAACGTTCTCAAGTGTGGAGTACTTGGTGGGTAATTTTTCATGCACCTTCTGCATGTATATCAAACAAGATCAACTTGCTAAACAGACGGTGAAAATTCAGGCGGATAATGTTGTCTCCTATTCTGCACGCATTGCAGGCTCTTATTGGCAATTTTTCTTTGAAGTACTTTAATGTCATTTTAGCCATATTGAGACGCTTTCCGGGGGATCTGAATGAAACACAACAATGCAACAAGTGTTAGGATAACCTGCAATAAATCTTCATAGCAATTGAGCCATAAATCTTCGTCAGTCTCTTTGATCAGTATCCCGCGAGGGAGAAAACGCCAATGGGCGGTGCTAAAGTACTGGCGGTCAGTCTACAACTATTTCAGCACATGTCACAAACGGAATCTTTTATCGCGTGTTCCAAATGGAGTCTCGCTGGCGCAAATGTTTTTCATTTGTGGAATCACCTCATGACCCATGATTAATAGCCTGCCAGTCAGTCACCATACTGACTTTTATAATAATGCCGCTTGCGCGTTAGAGATTGTAAATAAATAAAAACACTTAAGCTTGTACTCAGGCCAAAGTTCTTCAATCAGCGATACGAAGTGATTGGTTGCAAACTATGCTACTTCACTATGGAGACTCGATGAAATAGAAACTTACCATAAGGAATTTATCACCTTCGTTAGCTTTGAATTGGTATGTAAGTAGTGTTAAAGACTTTGTGGGAATCTCCCCTCTTGGATAAAAAGATTTGGCGCTGATGATATTTTCGTTTAGCGCCTTTAACACGAAAGAGGGATTTAAGCAGCATAGTCAAGTTTATTGTGTTTCTAGGCCACCGGCGTATTCTGAAAATAAGCCCTACAATCATAAATTTTGCTTGAAAAAAAATTGTTAACTTCCAGTGAAAGTTTGGGGTACATTATTCGAGCCAGTTTTCTATGGTTTGTTATTTTAAAGGAGCTTCGTTATTTTAGTGTTATTCTAATACCCATGTAATGTTTTGAATAATAATTTTTGTAATGACCTTCGGGTCTTAGCCGATGATTATTATAAACTTGGTAGTATCCTGCGCGTCTTTTGCTACGTCAAATCATAGAATTAAATGCACGAGGTTTGCGCTCTACACTTGAAGCAACCGAATTGCAAACAAATGATCGCTAGATCCATTTTGACACAATTGTATCGTCTTTGCGAAAGCGACTTCCCAACTGTTTTGCTATCGATGTTAGGGAATGTCTTTCTCGTGTCATTCTGGCTGTCTCGAAATGATTAATGGTTCACTAACAAGAAACTGAAAAGAGGTGATTATTTATTAAATTAGCAAATTGTTAGTTCTGCTGTGTTCTTGTATCATTTTGAGGAACAAAGAACCTCCTCGAAGAAAATTCGTGTTTCGCGATTAGACACAAACCACGAAAGGTCTGGTTGCTTGAAAATATCAGTCGTTACGCACTTCTCAGTTTTGGAGAAATTTCGTCAGAAACTCTTTTAGATTATTCTCATACGCCTGAGAAATCCAAAAATATCAACTTGTTTGTGCACTGAGATAAAAAAAAAAAAAACCCTGAGAATTCCAAGTTATCAAATAAAGTTTTTTGGGTTAAACATCTGATTGTGCAGGCTTTGAGTAGTTTGACCAACAACTACTTGCTTTTAATTAGTGTCGGCACCGAGAACGGAAAGAATGGAATTACCTGTCCACTCAATTAACATGTATTTCATCATACACTGAGTCGACGGTTTAAAAACTGCAACAGCCGATGAAAAGCGTTCAACGCTCCTCTGGAAAATAATTCATGACGAGTTCATTACTTTGGAGGTACCGCGAGTCAAATAACTGCCTCGCATAAGAAGGCAACTGTAAGCTAATATCGCTCAATAAAATGCTCTGTGGATTTCCTCCCGGATTTTTGTCTTGTTCTCACACCCAAATCTAACAAGGTGTTACGCATGTCCTCCTTGTTTGTGATAAACACATGCTTTAGATCAATGAGTGATCTTTTTGTTGTTGTTTTTTGAAGTGCATTCCCACAAAATAGTTCGGAAATAGAAATCCAATTCGTGTGTTTCCGGAAAAAAAAAACCTTCTTTAATCCAAGATTATTGTACAAAACCAAGGCGAGGTCATGCTATTTTTAGGTGATTCCGTCACACAAAAAATTATCTTGAAAAATTTTAGAAACCTTAGGTGGTGCGAAGGAATTTCGAGAAAGAAAATAAAAATTCTTAGATTGAAATCTTTTGGTCTTGATTTGTGTGTGTGTGTGTGTGNTTTAAAGTACAACGACATTTTAGGCGCTTCAGTTGGATATTCAGATATTTTTTTTCACCACACTCGTGGCAGATGCAGTTTATTTCTTCAAAAAGGTAGGATCTGTGCTTTAATAAAGTACCCTTTTCTTACCTCAGTCCTGAGTTGAAAGTGTGTTAACCTTCCCCTTTTTCAGATCGCTGCTTCCTCAGGCTGCTTTCACAGCCTTTGTTGAGCCATCATTTTGCTCTTTTGAACCTCGAAAAGGAAACAAAAAGATTTCAACGCAGAAATTAGCTAAAAAAATATTATTAGGATTTCCCTTATTTAAACTCGGTGCATTCAAAACTTATGTCTATAGTTTTGTCGCGATTATAGCAGATGTTTGATACGATACAAAGAAAATTTCGGATACCCTTAACAGATAGATCAATATTTTAAAATATCAGAAGCTTCGAAATTATAGTCACTGTGGCTTTCACAAACTTGATATGCTAATTTCTTTTCTTCTTGAGCTTTTTTTCGGTAGAGCACTTACGCAATCACCCTTCAGGGTACTAGGGTGCGGTTCTCGCCATTTTTTTGTCCAGCTTGCGAAACGCGAACGCCTTAAATAAACATTTTCCCGGCTTGCCGTACCAGTCTCGAGGTTGAGTTGGTGCGTGTCTAAAAGTAAACCTTGAAGTTTTTGTTGATTCTGGTGAACACTCTCTTCAGAGTCGCGACACAAAGGATGAATCTGCAGGTGATGGTTTTGCAGTTTTAATCTGCACATTTGGTGTTTCATATTTCGCTTGTATTGGGTTTCGGAGGTCACGGAAGCTAGCCTATTGAATTCATGGAAATGAATTTGTTTTGTCAGTTATGCTTTGTCCTCCAGGAAAGCTGTAATTCGATCCTAGCTCCTAAGTGACATTTTTTAGTTTAGGCTACACCTTTCACTCTTATCACAAAACAGTTCTACCACCTCAATAAAAAGGAAAACGTTTTCTCCACTTAACTTTCCATGTACAAGTGAGACTTTCTCTGACGATTTTCTTGAAAGCTTTCAAATTTAGTTTGTTTATCAGCTGCTCAGCTAAATCGGAAAACCCCTCTTGATGATTCTTTTTAACAATTACCATAGAAAGAATGTTTGTAATCAATGGATGATGTTTTCCATACAATCCTCGAAATTTGCATGTTTTGAAAAATACTCAACCACTTACAATCCACAATTCCTCCATTCGCTCTGACGAAGGGCTAACGCTCGAAACGTCAACTTTTTTATTCGTTACGGTGGTTAATTTAAAATTTCAACTTAGTTGATATAACCAATTATTTTGTTCACAACTTTTTTAAAGAGAATTGATAACGGTCCGTCTAACATTAAAGGCTTACGCCAGCCTTTAAGTTCTGTTTTATTCCAATAAAGATATTTGATTTTTTTTAATACAACTTAAACGTACAAATGTACAGTTCCCACATGATATCATATGCGAAAAAAAATTGGAAGCAGCAGCTAACGTTCGTTCACCCAGTAGAGTTGCTTTCTACCTGAGCATGTTAGAAAAGAATTGCAATAGGACCAAGACGTGGACCCCAAACGATATAAAGTACACGAATCTTAGAACACATGTAAAAAGTTTTATCCAGCAAAAAGAGACCAAGTTCCTAAATTGTTCTTGTTTTTTGCCAGCAAGTGTATTTTCAAATAATGTCAGATAAACCAAATTTGAAGCTTGTACAGTGCAAAGGTTTGAAACACAAGTTTAAAGAATGAGAGTGTAAGCGCTGCTGAAAGACAATTGAGCAAGGTTTCATCCATTACCTTGAGGGTCTCAATGGCGTGAGGGCTTTCACCGCTAACTGTTAAAATTTTGGCTATTTTACGGCTTACGTTTATCATCATTCCATTGTTGTCACCAGAAACTTTTTTATGGTTATATTTTTTTACGACTTCTGGTTAAAATTTTTCAATATTTACGCCTAACGGCTAAATATTTCGGCAGTTTTATCGGTTAACCTCATTGCGACCCTCGGTCTTGGGCTAAATAAACAATGAGGCCAATAGGCAGAGACAGCTGAAGGAACAAAGACTCATTATACTATTAACTTGGTTGCTATCTCAAGCGTTGTCCATTAAATTGAAAATCTCTCTCTGACCATAAGTATATCACTACAAATCTGAAAGGAATATTGAGTGATTGGAAAAATAATTAAATTAGAAGATTTTGCCGACACTCTATTATCCTACTGAGGTGTCTTCGACCCCAGTCAGTACCACCGAAGATAATTACTACAACAACTAACTGTATAATTAACCAAAGTAGGCATCATGGAAATGTGTGTAGATGAAGATTTACCTGTTTACAGGGAGACTCGCGTGTCCTAACACCTTCCATTTCATAAACAACCGTTCGAAAACGGTTGAATGCACGCGCCTCCTTTTACACCTTGTTAGAAAACGTTCATGTTTTCCACTGCGGTAATTGGCACAACATCCACTTATCGTGCTTCACAGGTAGTTTTTCACGGCGAGTTAGGCTAGAATAATGCGAAAAGCATACGTGCAAGGGAGACTTTTAGTCTAGTCCCACGTAGAGACAGATTTCCAGCCAAGTAAAATCATAAATCAAACGAATTACCTTGAGATGACATGCGCGTCAAACGCAATACCTTAAATACTACTTACAACACAGGAAAGTAAATACTTAGATAAATATCATTTTACCAACAAAATATTGAACGATCGTGAGCAACTAAAACTTTTCCCTTAGAAATAAAATGATTTTAACTCATAACATCCGTGAGAAAATCTCGTAAAACACTATTTTCCGCGATTAGACATCTGGCCCAAAAATAGAAAACAACAGTTCAAAAATTATTCCTATTTTTCAACAAAATACGAAGCCAGTATTGATTGACATCGAAATACCAAGCAACCAAACTGTCCAATGAATGATTTATCATTTGACTGTTTTCTTGAACTCTACTCTATATTTCTCTGTTTCGTGTACTTTACTAAAGTGACTTTGGTTTTATCGGCTCCAAACAAACTTGAAATCTGGGGCAGTGTTTCTTACGGAAGATTCGAGTTGCGGCGATCAAAACCTAAACAAATTAAAATATCACAGCAAAATAGTCGTAAAACAAACATTTAAACGGTCGAAAAATGTCGATAGCACTGAGATCCTTCTTTTTTGGGGACAATTTCAGTGGGGGTGCAAAGACCTTAGTCTGAAAACTTTAAGGAACGGCTAATTATGTTGAGTGGTTGTTTGTTACAGTATTACATCGTTTACTATAGCGTCCTACACAGGATTGAAATTCTTCAAAGGAAAAATTTTCACAAATCTTTCCGCTTCAAAGGTAAATCCATTTCGTGATGTAAGAAATCCAATTTATGAAATTCAATAATGGATTGACAGTTTGGCACTACACAGTCAGTTCTCTATGTAAAGTATGTCTCTGGGTCAAAAACTGTGACGTTTGGTCGACGTAAAATATGGTTTTGACTTCAAGGTACTTTAAATCGCCCTTTGAGGGTTAAACCTATGAATAAAACACGCAGTAGGAAGTGAAACTTATACGAGCATTTCTTCGCATCTTGGTACACGATACAGCACAATCCTCTCGCTATTTTCGCGTGCGGTTGAACTATTCACAGCTTTTTCTCATCTTCTCCGGGTAAGACAATTAATGGCGAAACTTTATAAAGTGAAAATAGGAAAAATCTGTAAAGGTAATGTTACTTTATAGTTAGCACTGATAAAATTGGCATCAAGTTTGTTGCCTGTAACATAAGAGTTAGCGGTATCACTCATGACTTCCATTACTGATTCCTTTCCTTGTTAATCCTTCGACATTCGATTATCATATTGGGCGTGCCATCTCAAAGGTTTTTTTTATGTTTTCTTGCGACTGATTGATTTCTGATCACCGGGTAGAGAATATTTTATCACACCTGCACAGACTTCCTTTTTTTTTAACTTAAATTAAACGTAATTATTTCAATCCTACTGCAGCTATATTTCAACGCGTAGATCAATCTTGTGCATGGTTGCGTTTTTTTTAGAAAACAATCGTTCGTTAAATCTCATCGAGAAAGAACTGGCCACTATTTTGGTCTAAAGGAGAATGAGAAACCCACGGAACTGATTAAAGTAGTTTATTTAATGTCAAGTTTTCCTTTCAGTGCAATGAAAATATATTAGAGATTACACAGCCAAAGTGTGAAACAGAAATAGAATTAAAGGTTTCGCAAAAGTACACAAGGCGATCGCTTCACAAAAAATTGCGAACACTATAAGCAAATTGTTGATGTGTACTCCAAATTCGCCGTAGTTTTCCAATTGTGAAGTTTTTCCCGACTCTGTTGGAAGCACGACAAGTGTTTCTTCTATTACTGAGTTGCACGAGTTGTAACTCAGCAATTCGGACGCACAGAAAGTTTGTACGTTGGGGCATGAAATCGGAAATCTAGAACAACTCTGTACTCGATATCCAAGGGAAAATGTCCCGATCGAGAAAAAAGTAAATCCTTCTCTAAATGTAGCTAACTCTAATCGGGAAACATTCAGCTTGAACCGAATAGAACTCTAAAATATGACAGTTACTAACATAATCAAACACGATAAGGACATTCGGTGCACGAATGAGCAGATAAACTTGAAATGGTGTGTGCTGTCGGAGATGACCTCCTTAGCGAAGCTGACATTTTTCACACCTCGGTAGAGATTTTGTTTACGGATAATTACGTTTGTTAAAGGAGCTGTTAATCGGTTTCAATGGCAAAGAAAGTGAATTTTTCCGTCATGCGGGAGCCAGTTACAACTTAAGTTCCATAATGTTACCGCGTGTGAAAAAAAGACATCGTATACGAAGTAACCTCTTGCATGAAAGAGAAATTTACGATAGGTTCCTCACAAAACACAGGCACATTTTTTTATTGCCGCACTCTCATTAAACGCATAGTTTTTTGCACAGTAGGAATTGAGGGGAAATTATTTGAATCGATTCCCTGATTGACACATTTTTAAGAATCATAGAGGACTGAGATGTTTCAATAAGCAAATGATTGCTGTCAGTATTACACCGTCTGAATTAATAGAGAAAGCGGTGGATATTCAGTCAAACTTAGTTCACTATCGGTTCAGAGAAAGAAAGCTTTTTCTCTCGAACTTAGAAAGCAGTTGAATAAAGGATTTTTAGTATAAAACTCTGCGCAGCTGAACCGAAAATTTGATCGGCTCTTTTAGATGAAAGAAAACAATGAAGGCATTAATAACACCTTAGCGCACGTTTCAAACACCACTTGGCAATACTTGCTTACGAAAGACGACTGGCCCATTTACTGAAGACTTTAGACAGAAAAATAAGGCAGCGTTACTCTTTATCCAGAAAAAGATGTTATTCAGAAGTGTCACTTATAATTTATGGTTGAGTGAAATTATCTTTGTTTTGAACGAAAGTATGCTGTCGTTTTCACTAAAGGTTGACGTGATTTACTAAACAAAGAATAAATCTGCTTGGTCTAAAACAATCAAACCATGCATATGTTCTATATCAAAGGACAAAGGGTTGTTTTGCTTCAGAAATAATGGTCAAAAGGCGGCTAAAGTTATAAAAATAAGTTGCAGTTGGTCGGAGATTACACACAAACCCTCCAACTTGGTGGTGAAGAAGTATTGTCGCTGTTATTGTCGAAGTTTGTTTAAAGAAAAGCCCTTGATCTTTATCGATCTTATTCATGCAAATTTGTCGTTTTGCCTTGCAGGCATAAATGTGCCGTTCTATTAATTGTTTTTATTAAATAATTTGCTTAATCAAACATATAACTTTACAATGTATTTACCGCTCGGTGACCTAGGAACATGGCTTCATCATAACACCGCCATCGATAATCACGAACAAACGCTTGAGTGTCTTTTCCACAGTTATTCATTTATAAAAATGTAGCCAGGGAAATAATTTTTGATACCCTAACTGATAAAATAAAATCAATAACCATGCAAACTTCAGTCAGAATTACTTAGTTTTTGTGACAAAAAGTGAGGCCGTTTTCGTGCACGGGCACTTTTTGCCACTGACGAAGATTCTATTGTAATTTTCCGTCTGCTTCCAAATGAATACAAAGAGAAGACCACAACCCGCCCAGCAAGATAGTGAATTTCATCAGTGCCACGTTTGCATTTGCCAAGTTTAAAGAACGCTTTACAAACAGGAAGCACATCATATTATCCCACTCGAGTGTACTTCCACTAAAACTCCGCGCCGCGAGTAAAGTACACTACTGAAGCCAGACTTTTGCGATCATAAATTTATTGTGACAATGAAAACGCTCTTTCACAAAACCTCTTAAATATATACTTACAAGTGAAAGAAATCTCGATGAATGGAGTTTTGCGTTTGAAAAGCGTTTTTAACCACTGGAGATCTTAATCTCACTAAAGAGTAAAGTTATGAGAAATTTAACAGAACTTTCCTTGACTAAAATGCCGCCTTGCACGCCGACATTGGATAAAACGACGAATATGATTAATAATTGAATTAAGAATTAAGAATATTGTATTGTAAGATAAAAACCAAGGATACTAAGTTGAATATTCTTTGAAGATTCCATGAATCGGAAAGATTGTTTGTCGAGAAACAAAACGTTCGAAGGGACGAAGTGGAAGTGCCTTCGCGTCTCTGTTTAGACGAATCGGCTTAACACCTCATTTGTAACCCATCGCTGTCTGAGTGAATTCCTGAACCAGTTTTTATGTTTTGCAATAATTTACAACTGTACAATCTTTCAGTGCTTGTTTGGTCGTGAAGAACTTGTGAAGAAGGTCGAGGTTAGGTTATGTTAAGCATGCAGACAAAGAGAGACAAAGATTGCAAATGTGACAGGATAAACCTTTCGCCGCAAATTGTAACACTTCGATGGCTGTCTAACGCCCCATTTGTCCGACGTATAGGAAAAGAAATTTTTATACACCTTCAAGTCTACAGAAAAAGGATTACAACAAATTATAATTGATTATCTATAAACGTGTGTAGCTCGCCTATCTTGTACATCCTCGCCGCATTCCTCTGCTTGTAGGAATCACTGGTTTGTTGTCCTTTTTCCATTTCATACGTCGATTTTGAAACCAAATTTTGATTTGTCTTTCAGAGAGCTGCAACATCGTGGCCATTTCTGAACGTCTCTCCTTCGTAAGATACCTCGTGAAGTGAAATTCTTTTTCTAATTCCAGAATTTGATTTCTCTTGTAGGCCACGCGTCGGCGATGCTTGAAAGGTTGTTTATAATGCCAGGGCACATCTTTGTCGTCTTCACCGTCTAAATATTTAAATAAAGTTGAATTTCATCGATAAAGGCAAGTTCTCCCAAAAGAAGAAAAAACAGTTTTTGATTCAAATAATATTGGACGTAAATGTAACGAGTTCAGATTTCGGAGTTACCTTTTTATTTGCACGCTTAACTGATGCCGAGGGTTTTAAATACTTTTTTTGCGTTTGGTTAATTATAATCTTTATTATAGTTGACCCGTAAGTAATTGAAATGATTGCGCTCTCAAATTCGTTCAAACTTCGAGTAGACCATTGAACGTTTCCTGAAACTTATCTACTTAGATGCGCTGAACTTGACTCATCGTCTTTTTAGCAACAAAAGCTTCCGTCTGCTCACCTGTTTTCTCTTCTGATTCGCTGGCATCTTTGGCTGATTGGCAAACTTCGTCGTGAATTTCAGATGATTCTTGTGTATCTGTAGAATTTTCGCCGGGTGACTCAGGCGGAGTTTGAGAGCCGACCGAAAGAGGACTGGTGCTGCTTTCAGAGTTTGTCACTGAATTTGCAATGCTAAGAGGAGGGCTCGTAGATATTATTGGCGGCCTGTGGACCTGAGAGTTGCGATTTAGAGGACAAAACGGCGGAGAATAGTAAGAAGGAACACCATAACCATACATGATCGGTGAAGTGTTGAAGTACGGGGGTGGACGAATTCTCTGATTTGCTTGGTAAAAGCAGTCCATATTACGCTCGCGCCGTTGTGTTCAAGCGAGTGACTCAAGATAGGAATGACTAGGGCACCAGTTTGGCGAGAGAAATATTCTCCCTCGCTGTGGTCATAATTTAGTGCCATAATTAGATAGCCAGATTAATTACATGATTGGCTCCTTAACAAATGTGTGACGTCATCACTATGCTGACTTGGTAAACTGCTGGCGCCGTCGATGCTGCGCGTGCAACCGACCGAAAGAGGTAACACAAACGGGTGATAAATTTAATTAAAAGCCCTCATTTCATCTCTTCGTAGATAAATTATAAAGGCGTGGAAAACAAAAACCGAATATTTGAGTTAAATGAAATTCATTGTAACAAATTTCTTATCTCTTTCATATCGCAATAAATGCTGATTCTAGTTTCGTGAATTTTCGGACGGGTGGCCTTGCTGGGCGCACGAGGATTTGACAAAAGGAGGTAAAAATTTTAGCACATCATAATTTTAAAAAAGAAATAGCATATCATCTGCATTTTTGGAAATGCATGGTGCCACTTAATGGAGAGAGGAATATCGTCAAAGCATTATTTTTGCTGCTCCCCAATCTTACAACCGAGAAACAGTTAATATATGTTTAAAAGGGCGGATTTTTGTACAGAATAGAAAGGCTAAAAATGTCTATAACTAATCGTTGTCTCCATTGGAGAGGTTCCAGTTGTCACAGCTGGTTGTTAGCAAGAGCGGTGTGTGTGTGGATAATAAAAGACCCTCCCTTACCAATAATCGGAAACCAAAAGAATGCTCTGAAATGGCGCGTGCAAATGAAAACTGCAGAACACAACAAAAAAGTTTTCTTTTGGTCTAAAATTATAATTAATGACTGTTATTAAAAGAAGATATAGATCTAAACTCAGTTCAGCTATTCAAACAACATCTTTAATAACTTGTGATCGAAGAAAGAAGACTTAGACATTTATTCTGAACCTGGCGCGTAATTCATAAATCAATAAAGTGGCTTGCATGTTCATTTTCAAATGTCACCTAATTCAATGAGCGCTCAATCCAGCTTGTTTGTAATATAAATTATCGAACTCCTGAACAAATTTAGTGCTAATTTGGACAACGGGAGCTAAATTTATTTACTTATTCACTCAGTTTTTTAACGGTTGACTATAATGAAAGGCTGCATAACAAGTAAAAAAAAGGAAGAGTGGAAACTTGTAAGATGTCCCAGTTTTTGACAGGAGCAAGAACATTTTGGGGAAGACGGAGTGTTTCCTCTGAGACTCCAAAGAAGTGTGGCGGTAATTTTTAGTTGTCTGAGGAGACTAGTTGTCCTGGAAATAGTGTGAATAGCCGTTAATCATGTGTGAAAACTAATGAGTAAGGAGACTATAGTCGAGCGCGTGTAGCGCCGACAACCTGAAATGTCTTGCGGTAAAAAAAATAGATTTTTAAAAAAAAAATAACCAATGACCGTCGCTGATCGAAATAAACTATTTTGAGAACATTACTTAGGGTTTTTGATTTAAAATAAATTTTGAGTGTGTAAGCGCTAATAGTTCTACTTTGCAGGGGAATATCATAGCAAGTCTTCAGAACAACCCTGGATAAGGGGAAGCTAAACATCAATAACGAAAGAAATCTGATGTTTATAATAGGAAAAAATTGCATCAGAGGATGTACCGAAACTTTTTTGGGGATCATTTACATTATATTTTTTCGGTTAAGATATTACTGGCAATTCCAAGCCGTGAATCGATGCTTAGAGCTCGACAACAGCGACTGACCTTTTTGTTATGGTTTGCTCTGTTTTCAAACAGTACCCTGGGTGCATTCATTGCGCGGACAGTGCGGCGCCGAGGGTGGCAAGAACTTCATACGGGCCGCAGCGGGAACAATTCCCGTCGTTCTTTTGTTTTGGCCACGCAGCCATCCATCAAACCTGACTGAAACACAGAGGTCGTTTATTAAAAACAACTGTGTTGAGATCATGGAATGAGTTGGGTATTTATTCATCGCGTGAGTATTCACCGCAAGAAAACTTTAGAAAATATTGGCGTTGTGCGAAGTCAACCAAGCTTGGGAAAGGCAGAGCTTTAGCGCCACCGGAAATGCGCTAAACGGTAGCCATTGCTTTAATCGCTCTATGATTTCATCTCATTAGAGCTTAATGAATTACACAGCGCTCAATCATATAGGACATATTGCTAATCGATCCGTGTCCCGCTCGAGCTCTGCATGCCGTGCCTGTCAAATGGTATAATGACCCCTTAAAAAAACTAATGTGCTCCAATTACTTTGAAGTTTAATCCATAAGTTTACAGAAAAATTTAATCCATAAATTTACAGAAAACGTTAATCTTATTCTCTAAAGTCCTTGTTAAAGTCCTTTATCGTTGTGTTTATGTAAAGAATCACTTCAGTAATCAGCAAAAATACGACAGCGACCGGGAACAGCTCCGTGATTTAGGGAAATATAAGAGACGCATATTCAATATAATTTACGGCAGTGTAACAGGGGAAATTACCTTTAGCTTCGATAATCCTCAACACTAAATGAATTCTTGAGCGAAAACCACGGCCAGGCTGTCAGCCATGCCATGCAGGTGTTTTTCGCCAGTTTTCTAGCTCAGTTGACAAGTTTCAAACTAGTAGAATATGCACATGACAAAGCCTAAGAGTTCTTATTGAGATCATTGTCTCTATAGCATTTATGAATTTACCAGTTCCTTTGAAGTCTTAAGTACAGTCCACGCTAGAATGCGCTCTAACGTGAGAACTTTTAAACCTAAAAAGTTACGAAAAGCGTTTTTAAGTATAAAAGGTTTCATGTCGGAACGAATCATAAGCTGTTTGAGCAATTGACTTCAACTCCAACTCTTTTTAAAACATTTAAAATATTCATGTAAGTGAATAAAATGTCTATTCCAAGCATTTTATTTTTGAATTTGTTTACCATAAATATCTAATTTCCGTAAAAATGGCTTAGTATTTCCTAATCGCCTTTTAGTTCTACCTTATCCAGTTTATTCTCTTGTTCAGATAGAAAACAAAGCGGATTCTCTGCTTTTCCAGATGTTTCCTTTACATAAACATAGATTTTTGTGTTGGACAGAAAGGGTACAAATGTCTACAACGGAAGTAGGATACTGTTATGAAAATTAAGAGCGTTTCAAGTCAGCCTAAATAATTCAGAACGCAGAAATTCATCGGCTTCCTCTCCGGAAATCTTTAGGAATGGGCTGAAATTTGGCCGGATGACAAAGCTTATTTCGTGAATAATGAGAACTTTAAGCCCTGATGATAGGAAAATAAACTACTTAGTGGAGAACAGACCCAACTAACTATCTATGATTCTTATTCAAGTGACGACGTTCCATTGGAAAAATAAATTAAAAGTGAATGGCCATCTAAGAACGAATAATAATAACAGTACTGCGAAGTTTTAGAACGCACCCTATGATTGGTTACTGAAAACGTGTTAGCGAGCTTTCGGTATCTTGCAGTGATGTAAAAAAGTTTTATAAATTTGAGGAAATCTGTGAATCGTTCGAGAAAATCAGCGTGCTACTGTGGTTTGATGCGTGAAGATAACCAGACTTAATCAAAATTACACTCAGTGTCTAACCAAAACGGTTTTTGTTTTACTCATCTGTTTTTTTTTTCTCCATTTATTTCATTTTGATCTGCATCAAATAAGTTAAATCACTTCTTCCATGACAACACCTGTAGTTCCACCCCAACCTTCCGATGCTTATGATTTTACACAACATGGAAAATATCACAAAAAGTAATACGATTGGGCAAAAGTCAAGAGAATATGAACTGATATTCTCCTATCCTAGCTGAGAGTGGATCATGTTCAGATTTCATGCATCCATTCTTAGATTGCATGTAAAAAGGTCTATGACTGTATTTATGACTATATAAAAGTTTAGACGCTATGCCCACAGACGTGTTGTTATGCGGTAGGATTCATCAAGATACTAGAAGTAAAAAAACATCCGATTGTCATATCTTCGTTTGAAGGTGTGTGGTTTTTTTTTGTGTGTTTTTGGTTTGTTTGTTTGCTTGTTTTTTTCATTCTAACATATTTCCCCCAATGAAAAGAGAAGTTAGGTGAATATAATCGACAAAAATATGCGTGGTGTTTGTTTTTTTCTCAAGAGGGTCGCCAAGAGAACTTTCGGGAATATTATACCCTAACATGGAAAATAATTTATTAGAAATCGAGTTTACACCAAAACCATAACTATTCTGACATCGTGTTCCATCATAAGTAACAGAAGCTTGTTGCCGCTCGCAATGTTCTCCAAAACGACATTTTATTCCAATTCATTTATATTACTTTATAACAATTTACGCACCGAATTGACACTCAAGCAAAAACAAAAAAAATTAATTTAAAAAACCAATCACCACCCTGATAAATTTTCTGGTGATATTCAGGTTGTAAATTTATTTCATTGGCTTAAAATTGACTTTTTTTTTAATATTTACACGACACCTTTGTAATTGATTGAAAAAAAAAAGATAACATAACCTTTTAAACAAAAGCCAGTGATTTGTCAACGAAGAGGTTACACCACAAGAAACCTTCCTCGCTTGGCGTGCCCTCTTTCTTTTGAAACGCTTGCCTTTCTTTTTTTTGCAGCTGTCTTTAGTTTGTTTACAACTTGAGCCATGTCGTCTGAAGAGCAATAGAAGATAAAGGTGGGCCATTCATCACAGCCCTCTCCGTATGTAAACGTCCTCTCCACCAACCGCATTCCAGCTCGGCTGAATAATGTTTCTAATACGGGGAATACTGTTGGGCAAACAACATTGAGTCCTTTCTCTAGCGCGTAGCTAAAAGCGGAATGAAGAAGCAACTGTATTATGCTTGGTTGTGTGTCTCTGTGGTCCTTTGCTACTGCTCCTCGTTGCACCTCCACTAACTGTTGGTTGGCCTTTGAGCGGAGAATTCTCTTCATGGACGGTAATTGGCTGGCTGGGTACAGTTCGAGATCAAGCTTTCCTAATGAGTTGTTTCGTTGGACTGCACGAGTGACTCCGACCAAACAATCTTGTTTGTACGCTCCAAACCAAACGGATGAGTCGTCAAAAGCATCGCAGAGGATGGGTTTGTTTTGGTCGTCTTTATCGATACGAAAACCTGTCGGACAATCACCACGAAAATCCCATCCCATCTCACTAATATACACCTCGTATAAAAGACGTCTGGCTGCATTTATAGCATCACAGTCGTTCAAAATTCGGACACACAAATCCATCATTGAATCCTTAAAGCTTTGCTGTATCAGAGAGAAAACTTCTGATGATTGTGTTTTTGATGGTGTTCAGCGATACTGACAGGTTGTACAGGATCTCAAGGTAGTTATGAGTGTTAACTCCGCGCACTCTGAACTTTCCCGCCAAAGTACAGCAGCGGGCACCCCGCACGTGCTCCAGAGAATGTCTCATTGGTCATTTAGGGGCCTTATCCCAAATTTGGAACTCAGAGCGCGTGCATTCTCCAAAAGCTTACATCAATGCAGGAGTCTTGTGACCGGAGGCTTGGCAACCGACAACCCTCCCGACGGAATGTGCGAATTCTGGTTTGTCAAATTTAGAATCTATCTCTCGAATTTCGAACCTTACCAGTCTGGTAACTATGCTGTGAATCAAAATCAATCATTTGTTAGATGGTCAATCATCATAATAAAACAGGCGTTATCATCCCACCTGCACGCATCCATACAGATAAAACATGCAATGAATTACTGAAAACTAAGCTTGACTCCTCATTTTCAATGCTTTGTTAAATTTCACATGTAGTCAAAAGCCAAACTAAAAAAAAAACCAGAACTGTTCGCTGTCTTCGTTTTTTACATAAGTCTCGCCGTCTTTGATCTGATACCGCGATCTACAATAGACACCTCTGTACTCAGTTAAGTAAAATAAACCGACTCTTTCCCGTTCTATCTAGGTTTAAAAAGGGGATTGATTGAGACACAATTGGGCTGTCGAATTACCTCTAATAATATTTATGGGCTCTCGACAGGAAAGCATAATTTCAGATGTTAAAGTTAAACGCTGTGTTAGCGATATAATCTATTGACCACACACCCAGGGGTTTCAGTGAAAGCCAGTTGCCAGTGCCCTACCACTGTATCTAAGAACTCCCACCACCGTCTGTTTAGCTCGCGAGCAAGCTTCGTGTTTACGTTTCGCCGTACAACAAAGCCACAAACCTTATCAGCAGAATAAGCAGAATAAGCAGAGGGGGTTTAACGTTAAACTAAAATCCTCTGTTCAAAAGAAAATGTGACTTTATTGCCGAGTCTTTTGGAACCTAACGTTGAACATGCAAAGAATGGTTTCATTCGAGTTCAAGTTCAAGGTTTGTTTTTGTTTACTGTTGTCAAAAGTTTGTTTTATGATTTGAATAAAGACTTGTATTGATGACTGAAACTCGTGACTATTGTTAAGGCAACTGTGTTGTAGTCACTCAGTATGTGTGAATGGCCGCGGCCCGAGGGACTGGTAGTGAATGATTTTGGCAAAGTAAATATAGGTTTACTTGATGCAGGGATGATTCGGTAACACGAAAGCTCAGCGGTGCTTTAGATTTCAGATGACTTCTTGTAAAAGACTTTTTTCAATTTACCAAAAGGACTGTGAGTACATATTACCACCTAGCCAAAAACGGAACCCAAGGGGATGGCAAGCAATCGAAAACCCAAGTGCAACTCTACGATTAGCCTTAAAGTGCTACTGAAACGTAATTTTCATATCCGAGATTTTTGCAATATAATAGAGTTTGAACGTTATTTGCAAACGCTGTGTACTTTTTTTGGGCCAACGCATACCGGAAAGTACATTTTTAAGCATTCGAAGTTGACCGGCTGAGATCAAAATTGGCGGCCATCTTGGCGCGGCCAAAACAGCCCTGTGACGTCACTGGTTGTGTACTTCTGTGAAAGAAGGGTAAAAGCATGGAGTGTGGCTTGCATGTTGGGAGGCCGAAAAAGAGGATTTCGGGCAAAATGCCATCCTCGTCTTATTCATCGGCGGCCACATCGGCATCTTGGCTATCTGCGAGAGGTTCGCCTGGATAGGGAGCAAAATTCCCGACTGATACCGAGAACGAATCTCTACCAGTCTATTTAGTTAATCGGCAACTGACGAGATCCACAAGATTAGGATCGAAACCGCGGTCTTGCCTGACCATCTACAGAAAATGTCGAAAGACATTATAACGGCAGATGGGCTACTAAACGCCCCGGGCCAAAGCAATGCCATTCAGAGAATGAAGAAAACATGGAAGCCTCATACGACACCGCCACTGAAGATGATCTACTCGGCAAGTCTGAGGATAACGAACAAATCCCTCTGTACCAAATGCCTAGCAGAACATGCCCAGAATCCCTACAATATAGGGCGAGGGCCAAAATAAGAGCAGACGAGGATTTCAAAAATGAGATAAAGCAAATCCTTAACAACGCGGAGCAAGAAACAGTAAAGGCGATCATGTGCTTCTATGAACGTGAAATCGGTCGTTTTAATACCGAAATAAAGAAAAGAAAACGAGCCAAAACGGCTGGAACACTGAACACTAAGAACTGTAGTACGATCGAATCAGCGCGCGTGGCGCAAGCTGAAAGCAATCAAGACAACTTAACGATCGAGACAGTCAAAAAAATAGCTGTACATCTACAAAGGCGAACGATTCGAAAAAGACGCAATCCCTGATGTGCGTACTCAGTGCCACACATAAAGCAAATTCTCATGAAAAACTGGCATTTAATAGAAACACAACCACTACTGAGCGAACTATACAAAAATCCGCCGCTCGTATCTTACAAAAGAGGGCGGTCGCTCAAAGACATAATCGTGAGGGCTAAACTTTGAATAGGCTACTCTAAACACACGCTTGGGAGTCGTGTAGGCCTGTCAACCCCATTTTACGCCACCATCTTCCTCTTCGCTACTGGAGACAACTTCGCTTCGTTCAGAAGAAGATTCACTTGACAAAACTTCAATGTCTGCTATCTCCTTCGCCCCCGAATACAAACAAACAGTGAGTGAAATAAACCACGCTATCGGACTGAACACAACCAGTGACGTCATCAATCCATTTCGCTCGATACCAGGGCCCGGACATGGTTTTGTGTAAAATTTTTGATTTGAACGGTTAAAAAAGATATCTTTCGCTTTTTTTTGGCCAAAGCAAATTATCTCATGATGATCAGCATATTCAAAACTACAGGTTAGAGCAAATATTTCAGATACGAAAATTTCGTTTCAGTAGCACTTAAGTTAACAACAGATCAGTATGCAATATCAAGGATACTCTAAGTTGAAGAGGGAGCCCGTTGACTCGATAATGATTTGGTTTTCTACAAGTTTTTTATTATGATTTTTCTCACTCTTTAAACCTCTACACCTTAACATCAGTATCCATATTCTCCATACTGTTCTCTGTACATTTTCTAAGTTGCTGACAAGGAGAATTTGTTTGACAATCAACTTTAGTTAGCGATCATTTCCTTTATTCCCGTGACCTTAATGTTTGACTGAAGGCTGATATTGTAAGGAGAAATTAGATGCTGATCACTCTCAGGAGTCAAAGGGTAAAATGTACTAATGGCCACTCACGGCAGTGTACACGTCTTGTTGCATGAAAAGTTTGCGAAATTTATTACTGCCTTTAATTCAAAATACACTAAAATACGTCGCTAAGTTTCATTATGAAGCAATAGAGACAACACTATTCTATCTACGGTTCTGTAATTGACGCTGCGTACATATCTGTATGTAAATTTCTTAAGAAAACAAGTCGCTTAAAGTTTTTTTGGACTGAATTGCTTGTTTTCTATATAATCAAGACGCCTTTCCAATTTTCTGTCAGGCTTTTCTGACATTTCATGTCATTTTTTTCCTATTCAGACAGTGCAGTCGGATTGTATTGATCAACTGCCCTGGAGAGAGATTTTACCCCCGAAGAATTGTGAAAAAAACACAAGGATTTGCGTGTCTTGTTGTTTTTTGTTTCTTCATTTCCTTGTTTATTTTGTCGCTAATCAATATAAAAGATATAAATTATGTACAAATGCTTCTATATTACATTAGCCCTGACCCCCAGGAAATCTAAGCTGTGCCTCGCTTGTGTGATATGCTTTCACAATTTTATTCGAGATTAACAGCTATTGAAACTACGAAGGACAAGTTCGAAAGGATATTTCCAGGTACACTTTTACGTCCCAGATTCATCGCACTCTGTTGTTTGGTCGCACAGGATGTAAATGAGCCTAAAACTCACTCACGTTTATTTTCTCACTACTTAGAAGAGTCGCCTTAATCAAGAGTTTCATATATTTTTGTACGACACACAGAAACAGCGACTGATTGTATGAAGAGCTGGACATAATATTGAAGTCATGAACAAGTTATCTCTGAATGTACTGGTGACAATTATTGGCTCTTTTTATCCTCAGTGTACTTTATATTCATGATCGATAAGCCGCCGGTGCTGCTTGAACTTTGAAATTGTTCACTAGGAGAAATTCTTCATCGATCAACTTCAAGTATCAAAGGATTAACCGGATTAAGGCCTTTCTCTGAGTACAATGTCAATCATTCACTTTATAATGTTTAACAGTCGTCTTGACTGTGTCGTCCACATGACGGGCAGAACAATTAAAGTGCGATTCTTTTCCTAATTGAGGGTCAACTCAAGTGAAACCTCGATCACCTCGTAAATGTTTTACATAAAACATGGAAAAACGTGTTTCTTCTCTTTCGCATTCAATAAATCGTCTTCTAGGCCGGACGGATGATACGTATCCCGACAGAATGAAAGCGTATTCGTCAAACCTACCAGTATGCAATGAGAACAGAAAAGACATACCTACAGAAGTCAGAGCGGAAACCGCCGAACATGTCAGATCTTCATCACCGAGCCAAGCGCAATATCAAGGCATCTGTATTTTTCCCTGGATGCAGATTCGCAGAAGGAAACGTGATGAAAAGAAAAGAACGAGTAAGTAAATCTTCCGTTATCTTTCGTAAAAAATACCATGCAGCTAAGATATCATTTGAACCTTGTTAGCACTGGTGGACATTTCACAAGACAGTCTGACTTGTCTTGTTAACAAGCTGTCTTTGTAATGATGGTATAGGTTTACCTAAAAAAACCTAGATCAGCTCTAGGAATCTACGAAATAGTATACGCTGCGTCGTCACTGTTCAAAAAGTATTGAAGCGATCTAGAACAGTTGAGGTTGAGTAATCATTAATCGACGCGGATTTTTCCGTCGCCAAACTGTCCAAGCTGACAGACTACTGAAATCAATCCTTACCCAGCATGCCCAGTGCAATATTTGTGTGCTCTAAAGATCTTGAACGTTCTGATCTGATCAGAAAACTGTACGCAAGTCTAGTTAGACGAAAGAATTTGCTTCCTGTAATCTTCATTCGCAAGAATTTCTGTAAAATCGTCTTAATCAGCCTTAGCCTTTCATTCTTCGCTGCCTTGTAGAAAATGACAATGGAAGACATTTGTAAGAGCAGTGGATTCATCAAATTTATCTCCGATAATCACCTTCAGAAACAAGAATCAATAACTCTACGGTACTGCGTAAAATCTTAAGTTCTGATCCACGAGCATGTAAATTATAAATTTGACACATCTCTCGCCGGGGACACCTTTTAGCAAAGAGAGGCCAATTAGTCTTCCTGTTTATAAATGCTTTCATTGTAAAAATGTTTATTTTTACCCCCGCTGTAATTAAACCACCTTTTCGTTTGATATGTGGTTTAACTTGAAACGATAAATGTACGTCAAGTTACCTCTAACCTCCAGGTAATGAACGTGTACACGATCATGAATCAAAATTATTCCTACATTTCCACTATAGATTATGAATTATAGGTTACAAGGGTGAAGAGAAATTTAATAACATCAGCTGGTTGTGACATGTAGATTTAATTACCGGATTCGCAATGCTGTATTCACAAACAGCAGTTTTGACCGCCCAGTTAGCCCAATGGATAGTGTGCTGGACTGTTGTGCGGGAGGTCGAGGGTTCGAGCCCCGGCCGGACCAACACTCAAGGTCTTAAAATAATTGAGAAGAATTTGCTACCTTTCTATAATATCTGGAAATGGTTAGATGTTCTAGTCTTCCCGTATAGGGACGAATAAATGGAGGTCCTGTCTCCTGCAGGGTTGGGGGTAGGAGATGTTAATTTCCCACGCACGAGATTACTTTGTGATGGATGTCCTCCCCAGGATGGGATGGTGGGTACAAAGGGGTTAGGTGTCAATTGGGACGAAAGCTCTGTTCCTTTCTCCTGCCACTCCCGTGACTAATGGATTAAACTAAACTAAACTAAACAGATACAGTACTGCTTTAAATAATAATTATATTGAAAAGGTCTTAACGTTAAAGCAGAACTTAATATGCTGAGGAAGACTCTGACTTGAGGTCAAAAGCTTTCTTTCTTTAATTTTGGACCATGTACCTAGAGTTGATATGATCATAATATATGAACCTAGAAATAATCTATTGTGAATGGTAATGTAAGACCACAACTACAAACTAGAGGAGCATTCACTGATCAAGAATTCAGTGATAAAGCTGATGGTCCA